GGTTCCAATTTCCAAATGAATAAGCCTTAAAGTGGAAGTGTAGTTCAGCATCACTTGTAGGTAAGTTTATTTCTTACCTTAAGGCACAATGAATGATCAATAAGGGGTGTCTCGCCTATTTGGCTCACATTATTAATCCAGAATCAGAACCACCAGCTCTTTAGTCTGTGCCAGTTGTTACAGAATTTCTAGAAGTTTTCCCAGATGACCTTCCCGGACTTCCTCCTGAAATAATCATAGACTTTGGCATCGATCTCATGCCGGCACTCAGCCCATATTTATACCTCCTTATAGGATGGCTCCAGCAGAACTTAATGAATTGAGAGAATAGTTGAAAGACCTCCTTGACAAGGGCTTCATCAGGCCGAGTGTTTCGACGTAGGGTGCCCCGGTCCTATTTGTCAAGAAGAAATATGGGTCTCTTAGAATGTACGTGGACTATCTGCAGTTGAATAAAGTCACCATTAAGAACAAGTACCCACTGCTAAGAATTGATGATTTATTTGATCAACTTCATGGTGCAAAGTACTTTTCAAAGATAGACTTGAGGTCGGGGTACCATCAGTTGAGAATCAGAGAAGGGGCTATATCTAAAACATCATTTAGAACTCGCTATGGGCACTATGAATTTCTATTAATGTCCTTCGGGTTGACAAATGCTCCTGCCGCATTCATGGACCTCATGAACAGAGTTTTCAAGCCATTCCTTGGTACTTTTATTAACGTGTTTATAGATGATATTTTGGTATACTTTAAGAGCAAGGATGAGCATGCAGAACACCTCAAGATAGCCTTGCAGACCTTGAAGGAGAATGAGCTTTATGCCAAGTTTTCAAAATGTGAGTTCTGGTTGCAGTTAGTGGCATTCTTAGGCCACTTGGTGTCTAGTGAAGGCATAAAAGTAAACCCTCAAAAGAAAGAAGCAGTCAAGAACTGGCCAAGGCCGATAACGCCAACCAAAATCAGGAGTTTCTTGGGGTTAGCTAGCTACTATAGAAGGTTTGTAGAGGAGTTTTCCTCACTTGCAGTTCCATTAACTAAGTTGACTCAGAAAGCAGTTAAGTTCCGGTGGTCAAATGTTTGTGAGTAGAGAATTCAAGAGTTAAAGAAGAGGTTGACCATTGCACCTGTGTTAACCTTGCCGACAGGTTCGGGTGGGTTCACAGTGTATTTTGATGCCTTCAGAGTTGGTCTCGGTTGTGTTCTTATGCAAGATGGAAAAGTTATTGCTTATGCTTCTAGGCAGTTAAAGAATCATGAGAAGAACTACCCCACACACGACTTGGAGCTTGCAGCAGTGGTGTTTGCATTAAATATATGGCAATACTACCTTTATGGAGAGCATTCTGAAGTGTTTACAGATCACAAAAGCCTCAAATACATTTTCAAGCAGAAAGAATTAAATTTGAGACAGAGAAGGTGGCTTGAGCTATTGACGAATTATGACATCAATATCCTTTATCACTGAGGCAAAGCTAATGTGGTAGTAGATGCACTTAGTAGGAAGTCAATGGGTGTCCTGACCCATCTTGCAGTACAAAGGCGAACTTTGGGTCGAGAAATTCAAAAACTTGCAAATGATGGAATTAGATTGGATGAGACCGAAGAAGGAGGTATACCTGCTTATGCCTTAGCACAATCCTCTCTTGTTGTGCATGTTAAGTCTAAGCAAGACAAAGATCCATACTTAGTGAAGTTAAAACAAGGAGTCAGAAATAAAGAATCACTGCTTTCACTCTAGGAAATGATGGAGTTTTGAAGTTGAATGATAGGTTATGTGTGCCTGATGTAGATGGGCTTAGGAAGGCCATAATAGAAGAAGTTCACAGTTCGAGGTACTTTATCTACCCAGGTGCTACCAAAATTAATCTGGACTTGAAAGAGTTGTATTGGTGGAAAGGCATGAAGAAGAAAGTAGCAAATCATGTGGCCAAAAGTTTGAATTGTCAGCAAGTCAAAGCCGAGCATCAGAGGCCTGGTAGCCTAGCTCAGGATATAGAGTTACCATAGTGAAAATGGGAGATGATTAATATGAATTTCGTAGTAGGTCTGTCTCGCACATACCGTAAGCATGATTCAATTTGGGTTATTGTAGACCGACTGATAAAGTCCTCGCATTTCCTACCAGTAAAGACGACAGATTCGAGATGTAGAGGTTGATGTATAATCGATTGTTTGACGAGTATAAATTGGACTGGAGCCTACGTATTGGCTCGAGAAGTTTTGAGGTGAGTGGATATAACCCTTTACTAAAGTAGTTCTACTCACAAAAACATGCACACAAAGTGTTTAATAAAATGCTTTAAAGAGTCAACATGTGCTTAATTGGAACGAGTGAGTATATGTTGACTAAGTATATTCTAGTTAAAGCTTATGTATTTTACTCGAGAAGTATAAGCGTCTATTTTCATATTTTTATGCTTTATTACACGATCTTACATGTTAAAGTGTCAAGAGTTAGAAAGAACTTTTAAAAATACTTTGAGTAATTTTATTTCATGCTTATGCTATGGATGCACTCAAGAATATTGATAGATCACTTTTCAAACAAGATTTAGACTTGAAAGTCACAAGAGAAGTTTTAGAAAGAAAAGATTTTTGGGAGTATCCTTTATTCTGAGAAGGGTTCATCGTCCAGGCCAAGGGTCCTGAGCAAGACGTCGACTTCCTGAAACTACTTGTGCCAAATTAGGGAGCACACGAGCCGAGGGTCTCGTTGCTGAGAATTTACTTAGCCAGACTAAGGTATGATATATGAGCGCTGAGAACCATGAAGCGAGTGACACCTCGTGGATTGGGCCTATTCGATCAGGTTGGGATCGAACCCGTGCCGATCACACAGTGACTAAGACAGAAATAAGCCAGGATAGTTGAAACTTCCGAAGCATAAAGTGAAGTTTTTTTTTGATAAGAAAGAAAAAGAAAAGAATTTATTTTAGAATACTCATAAACTGTTGTTATGCAATTATTTTAGATTTGTTCTTAGAAGCTTTATGTTTTACATGCATTTAGAATCTTTACTTGTAATGTATATTTTACAAAAGTTCTGTCCCCTGTGGTTGAGACTCACTGAGTACAATGGATGGTACTGAAGTTCTCTTTTGGGAACCTGCGTTGGTCTGCAGTACAATGTAGGAACCGGTTTTGCAAGCGAGCCGGCTATAGGTTAGGACTTCCCTCACTTCCAGTGTTATTGGTGAGCTCTGCTTTGCTCGTGGAGTATTCCTTTGAGTCGTCGTTATTTAGCTATTTCTTTGTTTACTTAGAGAACTTGCCAGGAAATCTCATATCTTGAGCAGTGCGTCAGTTTATCAGTAGAGGCTTCATAGACACAGTCGGTGGGTTAAGATTCAAGTGTTTTTGATAATAACTTTGTAGTATTTTAGTAGTTACTATGAATAAAGTTTTGGAGTTAGTTTATTTTAGATATTCAAATTAAATAAAAGTATCTGGTTAAAGTATTTCCTTTGTTGCATATAAAATTTGAGGTTATAATAGTTTTGATAAGTACAGATAGTTCGCTCGGTCAAATTTAACGACCGTGTGCCGGCCACGACTTATTCAGAAAATGGGTCGTGACAAACCTAGTATTGTCTTGGCTTTATATACTAATAAAGAAGGATGGAAGAGAAAAGTTCAAGCAAATTTTTTAAAACTTGAGAAAGGACTGCAGTTTCTCAACTTAATGGAAGAGTCTAAGTTTGCACAGAACAATGCACAATATGTCATCATTGTAAATATGCTTGGTCGATCAAGCCAATTTGTTCATGCTGGAAAGTATATATCTGAAGTTGTAAAATTCAAGGACTTGGACTTACTGGATGTTGGGCTTAACATGGAGCCACTTAAAGGACTTGCCAAGGTGGGGATCCGTATCGTCATAAATTTTGTGCAATGTTATTCCTCTTTTGAAGCAGATTTAGTTGTTTATCTCAAGTTTGCAAATCTTCTCTTTGATCTGGGTATACATGATATCCCGATAACCTGTGTTATCAACCTGAATATGTTTACCAACACCAATAGTAGTGTTTTTTCTTCTTATGATCCAATAGCTACACTATGGGGTGATTGGGTTTATAATGAGGGGAAGTCGGCATCATGTGTTGGCTTTATTCTTGCAATGTGTAAAGATGCAGGAATGTTTGGGCAGGTTGTTGTGACCCAACATTTCGACCTTTGCCCCTATGATCCAGGAATCCTTGTTCTGCGACCTAATGCCTACAATCCTATATGTAGGAAGAGAGTTGTTGCCAATTTTCTGTTTGGTGGTGGTTGCACTAATGCAGGAGTAATGAGCCAATACTTTAAGCTTGTTGTTGTTGCTCTTTTGGTTACCCTAAGGTATGGCATAAGGTATAAGGTTGAGGATCCCTTTGATTGGGTGGAGTTGATTTCATTTCAGGACACCAACATTGGTGCAGATTCACCTATATTTACATCGCTCTTATTGATGGCAGCTGGTCATTCTCATCGCCATGTTCTTACCACTCAAAATAGTTGCGCAGATATTGCTCTATATTGCTACAATTTCTGCTACGCCCGAACCTTGAGGAGAATGTTCTTTTTGAAGCTGGAGGTATTGTTGTGAACTCTGTGAGTGACTCGGTGAAGAGCGTATTTGGGAATTTGAATAATTATGTGTGGGACCCAGGTTGAGTGCAGGCAAGTGCTAAGTTCGTGAAAGGGCAATGTAGAAAAAGAAAGTTATAAATATAGCAAAGGACGTAGAGTATTTTTTTATGCTGATTGTTGTTCTTCCTTCCGTCAAGACTTCCCATTTTGTGTAATTCAGTTTAGTGATTATATCATATTTAAGTCTGTGTTTGTGTTGAGAATTTGGTTTGTTTCATATATTTGGTCTTACCATGCTTTTCCATAATTCAAACTTTTAATCCACTCTCATTACCCTCATAATTAACATAATATTGTATGCAAATAGCACATGCTATGGTGTTTCTTTAGAAGCTTGAGACTCGAATCTCAACCTGGAAACATTGCTCTAGTTTTAATCAAATTATAAAACCGCACTATTTTTCTTGTCCACAAGAATACATAAAGAATAGGAGATACGTACACAGATCAAATATTATAGATATTTCTATTCTACAATTTAACAAACTTTAATAGCACTAGTTTCATGATCATCTGACCGGTAAAAATGAAATGATAAAATAAGTTGAGACACCAGTTCGAAGACGTGTTCGTTAGTTCGCTTTTATCTTAGAACACGGTTCGAGCTTAAGACAAAATTTTCTTCACCAGCAATAGTAGAATTTAGCCTTCCACCAGCCCAACCGTTGTTTAATGGACGAGCAGCAGCACGAGCTGGATCCCCAACCACTCGACTGCCCTCAACTTGTTTTCCATACTCTGGAAGGCCCTTCGCCTTTCTCTCTTTCCTTCTTTTCCTCTTCTCATCTCTTTCTTTCCTCAGCCAACTCTCTACTGTCCTCTGCGTGTCCAGTTAGAACAACAATGCAAAATCCATATGAGAAAAATATATGAAGTATATCATGTAAAATCCATTTTAGAAAAAAGATATGATAACAACTTGTCATTTTTCAGCCAAATGCCCAGGAACTTGATGAAATCAAACAGTTCATCAACGAACCTCCCAGCTAAGCAGTAAGATGGGAGCATGTTTAAACTTTCCAAATAAAAACTAAATGAGGTTCTACTTTGGATCTTATATTTTCTAATGACATCAGAACTTACCATTAATGACATATTGCTGATCTCCTTCACCTTGTCCATTGGCATTGCTAATTGCAACTTCCCATGAGCCACATATAGCTTCAAATAATACAATTATTTTAACTATCACTACTTTCTTCAAAAGATCCAAATAAAGCAAGTTGTAGGATTCAGCTCTTACCATATGAGAAGGCCAATTCTCAAGACCATCAAAAATATGTGTTGCATAAATTATAGTAGCGCCTCGCTCTTCACATTCTTTGCTCAGAAATTTCAAAAGATCAGCCCTCGCAAGAACATCTAGGTCAACTGTAATCTCATCAAGAAGAAGAACCTACACAAGCAGGGGGATATCTTATGTCAACATTGTCTTCAAGCAATTTGTGACAGTTAAATGGGAACTGCTTTTACTGGATGAAAGGCAGGTGTACCTTGAATGGTTTCAGGAGACCCATACAGATCTGCACTCTTCTTCTTTGCCCATCAGATGCTTTATGCATTCTCCAGGATAGATCAATACCTAGAACCTGCATCAACATAATATTTAAATTACTGGCATATCTATCTAGTTGTTTGCACATTGGATATGTTCACACAATCAGAGTTATTAAAAGATAAGTATGGTTAACATCCACGGAAAAAGTTAAAAGGTCTAAGTTTCTTCCCCTAGTTTTCTATGTGTGTTTTCGTATGATGTATCTTATTTGGCATTTGCAATTTTTATTATGGTAGAGAGTTAGAACAGTCCAACATGTCATGCAGAAACATATTCTAACTAAGCCTGTAAAATTAGTAAAAGGAGAAAAAAGGTTAACAATAAAAAGAGAGCGTTTACGACATATGGTCCACCATTACCGGTTTTACCCTCAAAGAACTAACAGAAATCTTATAGGTCTAGTGTTGTTATACTTTTGAGATACAGGGAAGAATCACATAAAGGGATTAGAAGCACAGTTTTATATACACCAATAGAAATTTCTCAGCCTGCCATACTGCTCAAATGAGAACATCTAGTCTAGAGAGAATAATGAAATACAAATTGTGATTTCAAGGGAAGGGTGGTTGTGTTTGGCAAAATATAATTATTGCACATCTGTTTTATAAGTAGAGGCACTAACAACATCAACGTTTTTTGCCATAGATACCTGTCAAATTGGCTTTGTCGCTCTGGTTCAGTTTTCAGAAACTTACATTATTTAATTGCTCGGTTTCAAGGATAATGGATAAATTGCTCATTTTAACTAATTGTAGCTGCCTTTGAAATAGTTGCTTCCAGAGATCCAAATAAGAGTTACTTATGCCATCAAAAGCTCCTCCATTCCATTCAACTGTTGTATGTCTACCGATACAATACTAGTGGCATTTCATAGAAATAAATGTAAATGTCCGAGAAAAGAAAGAATGACATGGATTGCTTTTATCATCTCCAAGGACATGTCAACGTGTTATATTTATGAGTTGCCTTTGTTAATATAATAACTGAGCAAGTAATAGATAATATAAATTCCTTTTGCTTTGCATTTGTGTAATAGGGCGTAGTGATAACAATCAAAAATCAAGCAGATCAAAAGCTACATGGGACTTTCAAAAATTTCCGCACAGAGAACGTTCGTTCATTTTCCATCCATACCTTAATTAATTCATCTCGTCTTTGTGGGTCAGTTCCTGGAACCCCAAAAATCATTTTCTCCGCAGAAATATCCATTTGAATAGGCACCTCAAATCCAGCAAATGCAACTTCTCTCCTCCACTGTAAACAGAAAGCACAAAAGAACTTAATTTTCTACTTTAATGATCAATTTCTGAATTCACAAGTTCATTAAAAGATGTGGCACATTTATTTTTTCACGAGACAGATGTATCTAGCCTAAACAAGATGTTTACATTGTTATAACATATCATCTTTAAACAAAAGCCTTCTTGTGATGTACCATATTATTACATGTTGAAACCACCAACAAATAAATGAGATAAACCATGTTAAAGAGAATTTTAGAACTGATTCCAGATAGAGGTTCAACTTAGTTGACGACACACTCTTGGTAAACATAACAGAAGAATACTTGGTTATGCTTGAATTTAATGAATTGGACATAAGATGAGAACTGCCATCAAATACATGCATTTAACAAAATAAAGAAGCAAACAGTCCTAAAAACATAATAAACCATAATAAGATGGTAGATGAACAGAGAGAGAAAAGATACCTCTCCACCAAGATAGCTGAGGTCTCCAGAAGCAGTTAAAGCAGTGTCATGAAATGCAGATCTTCCAAGCACTCTGACCATGTCTGGTTCTACCATGTGCTTTCCTCCCAATATCTTCAGAATTGTAGTCTTTCCTACAAAAAGTACATCCATTTACCAAACATGAGATGTCTCTCAGGTCTACTGGTAGGGTGAAAAAATGCCTATTCTGTGTTTGGTTAGCTATGTTTCTATATTTTCCACCAAAAGGAGGAAGTCATTTTCCTTTACAAATATCACACATCTTACTCCATATGCTTACTTCAATAAACATTTGAAAATTGTTGTAAACCTTTAATACTTAAAAAAATATGTCAAAACACTATCCTCATAGCTTATCTTGTACATTGTACAATTACCCTGTGGGTTGTGTCACCAAATTTTATATCTCAATCGGCTGAAACATGATCCAGAAATGATTTCCAACTAAAACATTCTCCACCAAAAAAACAGAACATTTTCATCCATACCAAATGCGCCCTATATTTCGAAATTGGACATTTAAAGCAGCAAAAAAATAAAAATTCTAAAGCAACCCTTTTGATTTCTTAATTATATTAAAGAGGACAATTGTAATTCAATGTCAAGAAGAGCAATAGAATTGAACCTGCGCCATTGGATCCAACAAGAAGGCATCGGTCACCAGGATAGAGGGTAAGTGAGAAATCTTCGATTAAGGGTGTAGATCCAGGGGGCGGATGGCCATCGATACCAGGGTAGGTGAATTTGAGCTTGTTGATCTCAACTGATGGCTTCCTGTCTTCCTTTACAGCCATGCCTATCAAGTGTTTGGTGAAAAGCAATAGAGAAGTAGAGTAGTAATTGAGCTTTTGTGAGTTTGGTTATATAAGAGAAAGAAAAAGAATGTGAGTATGTGAGGATACTCAAGATTCAGCCATGGCCACGTTCTTCACTTCCTTCCCATAGATTGCTTTTTCAACTACCTGCAACCGCCGACCGTCAAGTTAAATTAAGGGAAAATTTTAGATAAGAACAATTGATCCCTACTTTCATATTTTAATTTACCACCAACTAACCAAAAAATAATACGCTAACATTCAATATCTAACTCCAATAGGTTCTCAAAATTTCTATTAAGTTAATTTTCGAATGAGTAACTGTAACTCAAATATTAGTTCAACTAATCCATTTGGACGGCGAAAATTAGATTTTTAACAAGCTTAAATATGTGGGTTTAGATTCCGAATTTGATTTTGTGAGAAATTTGGAGTGAGTATTATCTAGAATTGTTAGAATAAGTATAAGGAGGTTATATATAAAATTTGAAGTCATTTAATGGAGATTTGGACTGATTTTGAACAAGAATTGCAACTGAAAATCATGGAAGAAGTTCGTCTACAGACGCTTGTATAAAGGTGGATAAAAATATATAATAGTGTATAAGATGTGTTTATACACTATTATACAAGATTATACAAAAAACTGACTTCGTCTTCTTCCTTGCGTTTTTTCTGAAATTTAACTCAAATCTTGCTCAAATCTATTCCAATTTACTTCAAATTTAAATTTTGAACTCCTTTTGATATTTTCAATCAATTGGAACAACACCCAATCCAAACAACTAACAAACTTAAAAAATCTTATTTTTGAAGCAAAACTTTGAATGACCTTCAATTGTGGAATGTTGAATCTTCAATTTTCTTACATTGCAACCAGGTGACACAGAGAAGAAGCAGTAATGGCGGACGGCTCCTTGAAGCATATATATATAGAAGATGTGAGAAGAAAAGAGAGTGAAATCAATGGTTGTGAGAACAAAGATTTAACTCCATAACTTTTAGAAGCAATGGTTGTAAGAAAACAAGATTTTGAATTTGCTAGTGCTTTCAAAATATGTACAATATGGGCTAGGTTAGGTAAAACTTAAAAATATGGGCCATTTTTTGTTATGGTGTGAAGTCAAGTGTATTTTTTTGTAATTCTTTCTTAAATTAATCGAAAGAAGAATTATACTAGTGATTTGATCCTCCTACTATTTCAAAAGTAGACTTTGACCTCTGTATTTATACTTGTTTCAAAATATTAGTTTTGTGTGAACTTGTTTTACTGGTTGCATAATTTAAATGAGAAGTTTTTTTTTTTTATATGACAAAATATTTAAATGATTACAAAAAAATTTATAACCTTATAGTATTAAATATGTTACTATAAGAACTTTAAATTAAATTATTTTAAAAATTAGAAAAGAACACTTTTTTTTTGAAATAAATAAAAAAGAAAATAAGTATATAACTGAAATATAACGAGTAATAGCGCGAGTTGAAAGACGATCCTTTTTTTTTTTTTCCTCCCTATCCTCTAGTTCGCAGATACACTAGATAAACATTTTTCCCCAACATTTTCCGTTTAGCTCGTTTTAGGACCTCGCATTCAAGGCAACATGCTGTCAAATTGGGAATAAAGAGAAAGCCTCATTTGTATTGACTAATTTATAATTGAAAAATGGAGTACCTGTCAACAAGCGGGGATAGCTCAGTTGGGAGAGCGTCAGACTGAAGATCTGAAGGTCACGTGTTCGATCCACGTTCACCGCATTCTTTTATTTTTGCTTCTAAGTATACCTACTTTATCCTATTTTTGAACTGTACAAAAATATTTTTGCTTCCTTCTTTTGGGACTTCTCCCTTTTCAACCCGATTCATCGCTGATCAGGAGGAGCTCTCACATCGATCACCGAAGCCATCTTTTCAGGTACGCTCTTTTTATGCGTCTCATTCCCCCCCCCCCCCC